CACCAAGGTCAACACCCAAAACATCTGCCACACGCTCAGTCAACCCGGAAAACTTTGACCCCCACCCGATAGACATGCATTCTCCCATTTGTCCACTGGTAACTTTGAATTTCCAAAATCCTTCGTCTGAATATGTCCATTTGCCCCCGATGACACATACGGTCCTGTCCATGTCTTCCAACCTACACGTCGCTTTTATCACACACATGTGAGTTCTTCTCTCTCACACACAGCAAGAACAACAATAAATGCTCAACAACAATAAATGCTCAACCAACAAACTATAATGGACGATACCTGTCTATCTTTGTTCTCTATTGCCTGCTAACTCTTGCTAAATCTTGTCCGTCGTTGTCTTCTACCCTCTTCACCAAGAACTCGAAATCGCTGCAGTTCAGAAACCGATCCAGAACTACTTGTCCTTCATGCCTAACACAAACACAACCTCTTTAATCTTTTAATCTGTAATCAAATCTTTAATCTTTTACACACAGGATAATACCCCCAACCCATCATTTAATGCCCTCTGCCTCTGCCCCCAAAAACGTCACATCGCCTCCTATTTTCGTATGTTGCCTATGCCTCTGGCGCAACACTCAACCAAGCTTGCCCGAGGGCAAAATCGTCACGAAACCTTCGCTTGTGGCAGGATTTGAAAGAGGTTTCCAATAATGGCAGAAGCCGAAATTCGAGTTTACAAACTGGCACTGCTGACAAAATTCCCAACATCAAACTCCATTTAAATTATATAAAAGAACTCAATATAACTAGAATATAACTATAATGCTATGCTATGGCACAAACTTCCTTACGTTAAATGCAGGCCTATTTGCCACTTTATCTTTTTGGTGCCATAGCAGTTTATTTCTATGAGTTAATATAGAATCAGTACTACAAGAGATCTATGTGTTATTTCTCTTTTGATAAACTTACAGAAGTTAAAATTCGACCGATGGAATCTTCACGAGCAGCGAGGACGAAAAAAAGTTTTTGGGGGACAAAAACCAAAGTGCATGTGGAGTATTGTGGCCTTAATGATTAATCTAGCTAGCTTTTGTGCAATGTATTTAAAAACTTTTTAGTTCCTCAGAAATCAATATTGTATTGGACAAAGTTGTTTCAAATTCTGTATTTCCCATAGGTTTTATCTAATAACAGGTACACATTTATTCAATTATTCCCATTAACATCTATACACACACACACACCATAAACTCAAACTTATGAAAAAAAGTCTTACCAATTATATTACATCAATAAGACATTAATAATCGATTCCAATAGTCAACTATAAGTGCTAATTGTATATATATCCGTTATGGTTTTACTTTCTATTGTATCACAACTTGTCGTATATGAAATAACGAAAACATCTCTACGAGTGTTTATCCAGCTATCTATTAATTATCGTACGAGACAATATCATTGAAAAGTAGGGTTCGATTTCAACTGTGGTAAAAATCTAGTCAGACAAGACAAGAATTTTAAAGCTTGAAAACAGCAATGTTTTGATGAACTTAAGTACAAAATATACACTCTATAAACTAAGACAAATTGTGAACTGGATAATGCAACATTAGGTCGAGTCACAAGGTAGATTAATGGGATGTCCAACTAGGTGAGGTCATGGAGGATAACACTACTAGTTGACTTTCCTAGTTTATGCCTTCATCACAAAAGTTGATGGTGTCACCCCGAGAATGTTTGACGAAATATCCAATTAATACATACTTTCTTTGAGACCATGCATGCAAGATTATGCGTAAATCTTTCATAGAAAGAACAAAAAAACGACTGAAATGAGTACTGAAGGTGATAAAAAGAAGTCATAATTAAGGTTATGATACGTACATAAAGTCTTGTAACATCATATCTTGTGAAAAAAAGGAAGAGTGAGGAATTAGAGGTAGACATGACTTTCGAAAGAGTGATCAATATATATGGTAGGATGCTATAAGATAATTAAAATAACGTGTTACCATATAAGATAACGTGTCATTGGATATAATAACATGCTAACATAAAATGTGTTATTACGAATTAATGATAATATAATGCATGCTTAGATAAGGATAGAATTTATGTAGTAACGAAAATATATAATAATACTTTTCAAATGAAGGCTATTTTTCTTTTTTTTTTGATAAAAATCAAGGCTATTTTACATTGATAATTAATAGATAAAATTACTGACATGTCTCTTTGGCGAGGACATAATATCTACATATAATATATCAAAAGCTAGATTAATAATTCTGACTTTATCTTATAAGAAGATTTATTCTCATTAATTTAGAGTTTGCAAAATATTTTGAAAATCCTATCAATACTAATTAATAAAAGAAATAAAATTGATTTGAATCTTGGTCTTTGGACCGGAGCCAATGCCTAGCTAGTAGACAATGACTTGTTTCGGTCCTTTATATTGTAACTCGAAAAAAGTAACAATTTTCTAATCAAAGTTTCAGTCAAAATAAGCTTAGATATTTAGATATTCTTCCATAGATACAAGAGAGTATCACGTGGTCGTGTTAGCTTTTTGTATTATTTTTGATCATAGTTGTAGAGAAATATATACTTGTTTTATCCGCAATTTGATTATAATGTATTTGAGTTTCTTATTTTTGTCAACTTTGTTGTATATTATAAGTTCGTATTCACATATTTTTGTGTTATTTATATTGTTAGCATATATATATATGTGTGACATCCTCTTCCTGCATTTGCTCCCTATATTCCTCATTATTATTAAGTCATGGGGAGAGAGACGAAGTCATGCAAGTCGTGGAGCGACATGAAGAAACACTTAAACGACACCGTCTCCAAGAGCTTCGCCGGTCGTTTCTTCAAGCTTGAAGCAAGAAAAACAAATTTCACAACCGAACTCCGAGCTGCCACCGCCACATTCCTCACCATGGCTTATATCATTACCGTCAACGCCAATATCTTAGCCGACTCTGGTGCCACTTGCTCCGTACAAGACTGTTCTACCGTGGCCGGTTCGTCACCACCCGGACCAGAGTGCGTCCTTGGTTCTAACCCTGGCTACGAACAATGTATTTCCAGAGTTAAAAAGGACCTCGTTGTGGCAACTTCTTTATCAGCCATGGTTGGTTCGTTAGCAATGGGTTTAGTAGCTAATCTCCCTTTCGGACTTGCTCCTGGTATGGGAGCCAATGCTTACATCGCGTACAACGTAGTAGGCTTTCGTGGCTCCGGTTCAATCTCTTACCATACCGCTATGGCCATCGTGCTTCTTGAAGGATGCGCGTTTCTCGCGGTGTCTGCTCTAGGACTCCGCGGGAAACTAGCTCGTCTCATCCCTCAAACGGTGAGACTAGCATGCGCGGTTGGTATAGGAATGTTCATAGCTTTCGTCGGTTTACAAATGAACCAAGGCATTGGACTCGTTGGACCGGATAAGTCAACTCTAGTTACGTTAACCGCATGTGCGAAGATGGATCCTGTCACGGGAGCTTGTCTTGAAGGGAAAATGAAGAGTCCTACGTTTTGGTTAGCTGTTGTTGGGTTTCTCATAACGAGCTATGGTTTAATGAAGAACGTTAAAGGTAGTATGATTTATGGAATCGTGTTCGTTACGGCTGTTTCTTGGATTAGAGGCACTGAAGTCACAATCTTTCCACACACTCCTCTCGGAGACTCAAACTATAACTACTTCACAAAGATCGTTGACTTTCACAAGATCCAGTCAACGTTAGGAGCTATAAGCTTCACGGAGTTTAGGAACAGCGAGGTTTGGGTTGCGTTCGTAACACTCTTCTACGTTGACCTCCTAGGCACGACCGGAGTACTCTACACGATGGCTGAGATCGGAGGGTTCGTGGAAGACGGGAAGTTCGAAGGAGAGTACGCGGCTTACTTAGTAGACGCCGGCTCCTCCGTGGTGGGATCGGCGTTAGGGGTCACAACGACGGCGACGTTCGTGGAGTCGTCGGCGGGGTTGAAAGAAGGAGGGAAGACGGGTCTAACGGCGGTTATCGTCGGAGTGTACTTCTTGGCGTCGATGTTTTTGACGCCGTTAGTTACTAACGTGCCGAGGTGGGCGGTTGGGCCGTCGTTGGTGATGGTTGGTGTGATGATGATGGGAGTGGTGAAAGATATCAAATGGGGAGAGACTAAAGAAGCCGTTACGGCGTTTGTAACGATCTTGCTTATGCCGTTGACTTATTCCATTGCTAATGGGATTATTGCTGGTATTGGTATGTATCTTGCTCTAAGCATGTACGATGTCGTTTTGGGAGTTGTGAAGTGGCTTAATGGGGTTAGGAAACGGGTTATGAAAGAGCATAACCAAGTTTCATCGGTCGGTACCGTCGAGATCGTTTGATTAACCGACGTCGGTTAACCGGTTTTGAATCGGTTCTAGTGGTGTGAGTGTGATGATCACACCGGAAGTGGTGGAACTTTTCACATGGTCGGTAGTTAGATGACCATGCAAAGACTCGTCATGATTAATGCTCGATCAGTGGGGGGTTTTATTTGTTTTGTTTTTCTAAATTTTTGTGTGTTTTGGTTTAGTTTTTGCTTAGGGAGAGAGTAGTGTATGAAGTAACATTGGATGCATTAGCTGCCATGAAAGTGTATTCGATGATTCATGGCTGCTTGTGCATGCGTTGTTCCTAGGGTTTGTTATGTTTCAACCAAACGCTTTTTTTTTTTCTTGTAACAAAAATATTTCAATCAAAAACGTTTGGCTCCTTTGGTATTCCAAGCATCCCTAACTTGGCAAACAAGACTTCTTTAGCTCACTACTGTCCATGTTGCTATGTTTTTTTTCCATGTAATAAATTGCGTATACTAGTTCAACCCAAGCTATATTACAATTCTTTCAATCATAGTTTGATGTAATCATGTAAAAGAAAATATATATTCTCACCAGTTGCACATATTTAATTCGATAAGATTCATGTTTTTCGTACGAATGATTCTTCAAATAATCTTTTCTGAGTACATTGAGATGTAATTAAACAGCTGGTTGGAAGAAACATTATGATAGTTCTTGAACATGTACCTTAATCAAAGATTATATATCTACTTCTCAAGCTAACATTTTATGAAGGCTAGCTACAAAGTTACATAATATATAGTAATGAGAATAAATGAAAATGTATGGGTAAAATTTGAAGACTCAGTGACTCATTGTCTTCATTGAAAGCCTATGTTCATGGTTATGAAGTAAAGGATCAATGCTACAAAGATTAAAAAAAAAAAGATATAAATTAGCTGAAAATTAAAATTTACAAAAAATTAAAATTGAGTATATATCACACGTAAATGCATTTTGATATACTTACATCCAATAGCTTTTGGTCTAACACTTAAAGATGAACCAGTTGGTGTAATAACTACATAAACAAATAAATAATACGAAACCGAGTGAACCATTTGGTTATAAAAATTGTATAGAAACTGATAATACGATACTAACCTGAATCACAGTTCGTAGTGGAATTATGGTTGTCACACATGCAAACATGTCTAAGTCCTCCACCATCAGTAGATTCATAGCCACAAGTCCCAGAAGTTGCAACACACGCACGACAAAACGCATCACTTCCTTGTAGCTCGTACTTGACACGTATACCATAAGCCCAATCGGATGGTCCTCTAAGCTTCAAGGGTGCGAGATTGTAGGCACTACTGTATCCTTCACACTCCAACTTACTTAGATTGATTGCTTTTACTGACTCGAACCCGACCGCACAACACATGGGTGGTCCTGATCCGGAATGTATACCCGGTTGTCTGTATCCGACCATGTCCCAAGCTGGACATGACATGTATTCTTCGCAGCTCATTCCTGATATGTTGCGGCACGGCACTTTCTTTTCGGGGAAGCCTTAACCAAATAAAACCGGAACCCGAACCCAAATGTGTTCATAATTTGATTGTTTTTAATTACAAAGAAAACATAGTCTAACCAAACTGAATTTTGGTATATCAAAAGCTAAACCAGATTTTATGCTAACAACAAAAAATCAATTATTGATGTATGAAACGTATAATCATATTAATTAACGCAATAATATTTTAGTCATAATTTACGAAATTATTCAAAACAAAACGAATCAAATCGAAATTTCATCAAACCTAACCGATTAGAAATTGTTTTTTTTTTCTTTCTATTGTAAACCATTTTATAAGATTTGTAAGAAATCAAAATCTAATGTTTAAGTTGTTTTTGTGGAGAATCTAAAATTCTAAAAGTTGTCTACCCTAAGTTGAAATTTAAATGAATTAAAATTTAATATCTTAGTTGTTTTTTTGTGAAGTTTTTGTTGCAAGTAACTTACTAACCTTGAAATATAGGAGATTTAGGAGAGCATCCGATCAACATAAAGACATTATCAGAGGTAGGATTGAAATAAGGAGCTCTCCAATCCTCAGCTTCAAAGCCATTGCCTTTGCCTCCGAGCACGATGGTTTGGCAGGTCGACATGTGAGGATCATGCAGAGTTATGGACTGATATGCGTAGTCGATGTCCAAAACTCTATAAGAACCTGAACTTATGTGAAACATCAACACATCGTTCATACAAAACAAGAGATCTCTATACCCTGGATGCCCACATCCATTTCGGATTCCAAACGGATAATCAATGGTTATGTTTCCACAGTATGATCGGCATGCATCCACAATGCAAAGTTCCATGAGTGCCAGAGAGGATAGAATCAAGATGATCAAGATTTTCATTTTTGTTTATTTTGGGTTGTTTATAAGAGTGATGTGTGTGATCTTTGATGCAGAGAGTAAAGAGTTATATCTGAAGATTGCTTGCAGCTTAAGAGATTCTTTGCTTGTCGGAACAATAAAGCTAAACTCCTGCACTTTTTAATACACATGACCATAGTATGTCCTAGGAACAAAATAAAATAAGAATGCTAATAAATAAGACTAAGTACAATGAACAGAGGAACATATATTGAATACAACTAGATTCGTATAGCTTGAGCATTCTCACTATGTACCAGTAGAGCATTTATATAGCTTTTGAGCTACTTTCAAGATCGGTGACCATTGGGAGAAGTAGTTCGATTCTTCTTGTATTTCCAGAACTCGTCCTTCTTCCCTTTCGTCCTAGCTTTAACCCGACCGAATTTACTATTAATTATACCAAGTATGGCAGTCTTATCCTTTCTGTTCTTCGTCTTTGCTTTGTCTTCCAGAATCGCTCTAAGTTTCTCATAGGACCTCGGGTCTGGTACTTGGCCGCTTTTAACCATCATCTTGTGGTAAAAGAATGCCCTTTTGAAGTCTCGAACACGAACAAACGCATAGATCATGGTTGAGTATGTGATTGAATCAGGTTTTAAGTTGAGAGCAGCCATTTCCTTCAACAGCTGAGGCAATTTCGCATCTTGTCCTCCCCGTGCGTACGCATTCATCAGCATATTGTAAGTCATAACACTAGGCTGCAAACCCATTTTACCAAACTCACAAACCACATCCCTTGCTTCGATGTACTTTCCTTGCTTGGCAAACCCATCAACAAGAGTGTTATATGTTACCCGTGTCCCTTTTACTTTTTCTCTCAGCATTAGTTTCCAAATTTCCAGCAGCTTTGCAGTGTCACCAGATCGTCTAAATGCATCGAGAAGTGATGTGTATGTTTCAACAGACGGTTTAATCCCCTCTTTACACATATCTTCAAAGGAACCATAAGCTTTTTCGTGCCACCCGCTGACCGAGTAAGCATGAATAAGAGCTGTGTAAGAATGCGACGAAGGTTTCAAACCAAATTTCTTCATCCGCAGGAAAGCATCAGCAGCCATATCACTCATCTTCTTCGTCCTCCCATACGCACTAATCAAACATGTGTACGATTTCACATTTGGCTCTAATCCTAATTCCTCCATCTCCCGCAGAAGTGTCTCTACAATATCAGGCTGCATCCTTCTAGCATAAGCATCCATGAGAATGTTGTAAGTTGCAGCTGTAGGCTTCAAGCCTTTATCTTTCATTTCAGCAAAAAGACCTTCCACTTCTTCTATGTGGTTGGATTTGTTGTAAGCATCCATCAGCGTATTATACACAATCGTATTAGAACGAATTCCTTTCTTCTCCATCTCCGTTTGGATCACAAGAGCTTCTTCTTTAAGCCCTTCGTCACAAAATGATTTAACAAGGCCACCAAAAACATCCTGACTCCACTTCACACCTTTCTCGCTCATCTTCTCGAATATCTCCCAAACTTCTTTTGCACTTCGTCCTGCTTTCCTCATGGTTGTGATCATTATAGCACATGTAACATTGTCTGGATACACATTGATCTTATCCATAGCTTCATACACTTCCCAAGCATCATCATACCTATCAAAAGATCACCAACTACACAATTTGACTAAAGCTTGAACAAAGACTACAACTTTACATTCTCCTAAGCTAAATCATGAAACAAAGAGGAAAAAGCACATACCTTTGAGAAGCTGATAGCCCAGAAATGGCGGCGTTATAGAGACGAACATCTCTAAATTCTTCTTTGTCTGGTAAATTACGAAGCAGAAGCAGAATAGTATCAGCCATCCCTTGTCTACCGAGCAATGTAAACAACACAGAGCAAGCACGAGGGGAAGCAAGGGAAGGTTCTTGCAAACTCATCCATTCATAGAAATACAAACAACTCTTGACAAAACCAGATTCACCCATCATCACTAATGCCTCTACACACTCTGTATCACTAACCCTTCCTTCAAAACCTGATAACATCTCTCCCAGAGTTTGATTCTCTTTCAAATTCTTAGCAAGTTCCAAGATTTCCCCAGCGACGCCATTTTCAAACGGATTAAGCACACCAGGTGTTTGTTGATTTGCCACAGAGACTGATTCCTCGGACTCAGACTCGATCTCAGCTCCAGAGTCAGCGAAGTCCGAAGCCAAGTGCCAGGAAGTTCGACGATTCTTCTGGAGAGAGAATCTGGATTCTCGAGCTGGGTCTTCGGTTGATTCTGATGATAAAGTTCGTGACTTGAAGAATTTAAGAATTGGGTCTGTAAAATCACCTCCTTCGTCTTCTTCTTCTTCTTCTTCTTCTTCTTCTTCTTCTTCTTCTTCAACATCTTCGTCTTCTCCGCTAATATCTGTTGAATTGTCTGGTTGTTGTACACTCTCTGGTAAAGGGTCATCGAAGCAGGAGAGGAAAATGGAAGAAGATGACGACGAAGGGGAAGTAGCAGAGAGAGAAAGAGGTTTTCGATAAATTGAAGAGCGAATAAGAAGATAAGGTTCAGGGTAGTGAACTCGGTGAAGTAAAGGAAAAGAAGAATAAAACGATTGGGTCGCTAGAGAAGAAGACGCCATTGACATAGCTTAGCTTCAACCCCTTCAAGGTTCAAGCCAAAGTTTTAATATTTCGCTTGTAAAACTAAATAAAGGTTTCAACTTTTCAATTTCACCCTTGTTTACTCCTCTGCTCTTACATAAACTAACCCTGTTTGTGTTTCAAGCTTGGTAACGTATCTTTCTCATTAATCACCGACTTACTTGGTTTCTGCCAAAAAGCCTTAGCTTTTGTGTGTTCGTTCTTTTGGTTTTAGAAGCTAACGTAACAAACCAATTAATCATTGATGAATTCAAAAGCTTCTTATCAATTTCATACATAATATGCTATAGATTAAAGAAATATAAAAAAAAAGCAAATAATGATCAAACTTATTGTTTTTCTTTATAACATAAAGATTAAGGAGTATTTAGAGTTCATCTTTAAGCGAGTCCGAGGAGAGTCCAGAAGGATTAGTGTTGGAGTTCTTGAGAGGGTAAGAAGCTTCCATTGCAATGCCACAGAGTCCTTCTTTATCACTTACCCCTCTTTGCATTCTTATGTATCCTTTCTCTCCCCATTCCTCTCCCCATGAGTTCTTCACAATCCAATACTTTGTTCCTTCTATTGTTGTTCCATAGCCTACGACCGCAACTCCATGGTTTAGCTCTGTTCCACATTTCCCTGTAAACACTCCCTAGTGACACCGTTGCATGTGTTCAGAGTTCAGACCAAGAAAGTTTAATAAGTTTTGAACTGGATTAACTAGTTTATGTGTTGTGAGAGCTCCTTACCTCAGAGTAGAATTGAAAGTCTGAGCCTCCAGCATCAATGGCAACAGAGACAGGCTGATTAGCAACAGCTTTCATTAGATCATCCTCGCTGTTCTTAGGAACATCTTCGTGTCCATCGATTGAAACTACCGGAGCATTTTCTTTCTTTGTGTCACAAGTTTCATCTGAAGCTTGGTAAGGGTAGACTAGCTCGCTTGTGAGTCCTCCTTTCTCCTTGATGAACTCAAAAGCAAAGTCCATTAGACCTCCATTGCACCCTTGGTTCTGGTTTGTATCGCAGTCCACAAGCTCTTGCTCTGATAGTGATGTTAGCTTTTGAGTTCTTATTTGGTTGATCCCTTCCACAGCCACAACTGTTGAAAACGCCCAACAACTCCCTGTAATAACCACAAGCCTCATGTTATATATGTTGGTACTAATTTTACATTTTGCTTTGAGATTGAAAAGTATAAATGAAAAGAAGAATTAATTTTACCGCATTGGCCTTGGTTTTTGACAGGAGTGACGGCTCCATTCTTTCTCCAGTCAACGGAGGTTGGGAGAGTATTTACATTTGCATACATGAAGCTCTTTGTGGCTTGTCTTTCGCCTTGAAACATCCTATGATGTTTGATGTTTGAACCAGCGTATGTTCTCCTAAATTCCTCACTAGTCATGTCACCAAACTTGTTGAGCCTCAGCTTGTAAGATGTGTCCTTCTTGTTAGTCTCGTGGATGTGCTTCACGTTGTGCTTGAATACGTTAAACCTCTTAGCCTTCTCTTCAAGACTCCTAGCAACCGTGTGGTGACTCCTCCACCGTTCGTATAACTCCCACAAGCTATCTTCTGATTCAACATCTTTGTCATGGAAATCTAAACCTTTTGTGGTTTCAAGAATCATAAGCATGCAAAGCGCAAGAACAATGAATCGCTTCATCTTTAGTCTCTCTGGTACTTTTTGGTATGTTCTTTTGATTTAGAATGAGTTTGTGGATGGTAAAGACTAAAGAGAACATGTTTATATAGGGAATGTAAATCTTGGTGTGGGAGATTATTGTGACCAGTGACGACGAAATGTAATGAAAAAAAATACCAGAAAGGGGTTAGAGGGATTACTTGTGGGATTCAACAAAGTTTTGAGGTTAATGATGACAAAGGATACAACAATTAATTAATGGAGATGTAAAGATCAAATGTATAATTGAATTTTTATGTTGATTTAGTTGTGCAAGCAAAGCTCTTTTCATTTTATTTTTTCTTGGTTATGGTAACAATAATTGATGAATTTGGGAAAGATTAGGCGGTGAGATGACTCAATTACAAGTGTATACGAACCAAATATATACTAATAATTTGATCAAAGCACAACTTGTACGCAACCATTTAACTTTGATAGGAACTATATGATTGATGTAACCTAACCATGATTATGTAATTTTACAAATATGATAATTTGGAAAAGCCGTGTGTGAGTGTGACTAACTTATACGTAAGTGAGTAATAAAATAAAAATTCACAATAAGAGAACTGAATTGTTTGGTATGTGATATATATATATTTTTTTTCAATCTCTTTCACTATTTCGAAACTCAACATTTCTCGTGTTCCTTCTTTATAGTAAAACTTATGTTTTGTAATTTTCCTTTTTAACATCCTTTATTACACTAACAAGGCTTTGAAGTTTGAACTCAAACTAACAAAAGTTACTGCCTAACTTGTGTCATTCAACTAAAAGACATTACAATATCTGTTGTCCACAGACTTTTAAAGAGATTAAAGGAGAGATAAAGCAAGTATTACCATCAAAAAGTACATAACTAAGATTACGAGAAAAGTAAACAAAAAAAAGAAACGCTGACACACACACACACAGCAAACACGCACATCACATCACATGCACCAACCAAGAGGATGATGCAGTGTCGTGATTTACGTTTGCTTCTAACGTTTGTTTTTCCTTTATCGAGTAAAGTAAATGGAACGACGAAACTGTAATTGAACATCAGTGAATACGGTTCAAATATAAAAATCCTTAGCAAAAATATGAACCATGCATGTGTCACTATGCCATGAACCATAGGAATAGTATAAAAATTCTCCAACCATTTATTTCTATAACATTTAAATTTTCTTGAATTTTCAAGAACAAACGTCCAAATTCTCTAAAAAACCAAGTTATAACGTTGCTGGATTAATTTAAACTAGTCTTGGAACATAACCAAACATGGTTGGGTTAGAATAGATACCTCTACTATCAATGAAACCAAAACCTCGAGATACTTTGTATTTATCTTCTCCAACAATGTATACTTTGTTGAATATCCTATTCTCTTGATCTTTCTCACAACACACTGCGATTTTCTTCTCCTCGTCAATGAAAAAACTCATGTGACACGAAAACATATGAGGATGAGGTCTAAAATCCACTGTTAAGAACTTGTTCCACGACACATATGTGGTCTCGATCTCACTGCTTATCCATATTTCCATCTTTTGTGTCGCTTCTTTCTGGTATAACAACGAAATATGTTCTTCTCTAACAACCGATAGAGCCATTGTATCGTCACAACATGCTTTGTTTTCAATTGGGACGTACAAAGATTGTAATCTTTCCGTTGAAAAATCGAAACTTAGTAGAGAGTACATACTCCTTTCTGTTTGCTTAAACAGCCAATAAACATCTCCCTTCAATGACACGCCACGAGATTGTAAGCCGCCTTTAGGACTTACGGCATTGAGTTTTCTCCATGAATTAGAGGTAAAGTCATAGATTTCAGATTCTTGGTGGTGTGTATCCCCAAACCTCAAGATTTTGTAACCACGGCACAACTCTTTGTCTTTGTATCCGAGAGCACACACATCGTCTCTACGGCAATGATCCTGCCGTTTGATCCATCTAGTTTGGCCCGAAAACATGTTCCAAACCACAAACATGTTTCTTTTGGTACTAGCACATAGCAATATGCCATCACAGTGAAAGGCTTGACCTAGATCGACTTCTGAATCAAGATAAGGATCAATTAGGTTAAGTCCACGTTTAAACAAGGGAGCAGCATTCAAGTTAATTTCATTGATATAGGAGCACATTGAATAAACCCCAAATTTCACCACCACGAGAACATGATACTGCCTTGTAGATCTAGCATAAGCAATTTGCTTTTTGATGAATCTCGGATCTTTGACTAGATCTTTCAACTGTTTGTATTTTGACCGTAGTCGTTTGAGAGAGATCATCGGAAACCTTGACAACCTCTCCTCTATCAGATCCTGTGGAAGATTGAAGATCTTCATCATCGTTTCTCTTGTGAGTTCTGACATCGATCTTACAGAGGAGAAAGCTTTGAGAGTAAGTTAGGTCTTAATTAGGGTTTTAAGTAGCCTTCATACGTGTTCCCTCAATATTATTTATAAGGAAAAAACTTAAAACAAAAACAGAGAATGTGAGCCTCTTTAAATAGAGATGGGATGAGTTAAGCAAACGAAATAAGGAAATTTAGAGAAAGCAAACTAATGGAAAAGTTACTTAGAACATAAGAAACTAACAAAGCTGAAACTTGTCCCACAAGCGAAGCTTCTAGTTCTCAACGAGTAGGTTGTTAATGTGATTTTAGCTAAAGAAAAATTGATGATTACAATCTCTTTATATTTTTCAAAATAATTTGGAATTGTATTTTTCAATTTTTAAATTATTCAATTAGTTTTAAATATTATTAATATGTTTAACAATATTTTATTATTATAAATATTAGAGCCTAAAAATTCAACCAATACTTGCCTATTTTTGTGTGGTTCTTACAAAACACTATTACATTATTAATATATCAAAAATACACTAAGATGCATGTTTGGGGTTATGCCTTTGCGGATGCTCCAAGAGCTACAATGTGTTTAATTCTTGTTAAATAACAATTCTTGTTAAATAACAGCTAAAGAATTGGAAGAAAGATCAATCATTTACACTAAAAAATTACCACATGAAACGTAGATTAGACCGGTTTTTAAAAAACATTGGTCTAAGCTAGGCTCATGTAATGAGCTTAGATGATATGTAAGAACAGAACCAAGTTGTAGATCACCAAAACAAGATGTGAAGATTTTAACCAAACCGAACCAAAAGTACATAATCATTAAACCGGAATTGAAAATAGAAAGACTGGTTTTATCATTTCATACCGAATTTATCGTGATACAGAATTCGAATATACACGTAACTTACTTAACACAACAAATCGAAGTTTCCAAAGCGATATGCTTGTTGAATTTTGATCTGTGGTTGAATTAGTTTGGACTTTGGATTGGGTTTCAATTGTTGTAAGTGAATAAGCCCACTGGCCCAATTATGATTTTCTTTACGCAAATCGGGCCCAATTTGATGAAAGATGAATTGATTCGTTTAGTAGTAACTCGCAAGAACACACTAGTGAATACTGAATACTGATGATGATTCGGATTCCAATTTCCAATTACCACCAAACCAAAAGTGTCTAAGATTCATCGTCATTCTTTGCTTGTTATGCGACTTCCATGGCTTCGTCGTCATACCCATTCGTCTTTCACCTAATCCCATCTCAAACTTGTGCACAGGAAAATTAAATTCGTGGAATCTGGAAAATGGGTTTCTATAAAAAAATCGTAGCTCAAATGTCCTCATCCTAGTCAACATTATAGGAATACGACTTTTGGAACCGTGTGTTTCTAAATTCAGGAAAACTCAAAACAACTAGGCATCAAAGTAGTGTTACTGTTCGTTCAATGTCCTAATATGCTTTATGAATTATGACTGTGTCTGTAAAACGAATAATACGTTTGAATCTTACAACCTTGAAAACGATGCTTAACCAAAAAACCCATTTTCCAACTCTAAATACACATTTTAGTTTCTCATTTCCTCACTCATCTTTTCATCACTTTCATCTGTTGATTCCTTCTTGTTGACTTGTGGGTACTGGTAATGTTCGAATCCAGTTTCTACAACATAGTTGTGTTCTGTTTTTGATCGTCAACAAATTTATCTTCTGGTTTTTTTTTGTTTCAGGCTCTTCTTGTGAGACATGGCTAAGCTAAAACTTGTTACTATCTTGATGACTATTGTGTTAGCTCTTGGAACAATTCAAGAAGGGAAACCTCATGGAGACCAACCTTTAGCATCAATTGCCATTCATAAGACATTATTTGATCTGAATGAAGAAGCTTATGTCAAAGCCTCTCCAACACTTCTTGGATCTGATGTAAAGATTTCTCCTTTTTATGTTATATATATCAGAAACGTATGCAAACTCTTCATTTGTCACCTTTGATCTAACTCCAGTGCTTATTTTCAGGGTAAACATAGTGAGTGGGTACTTGTCGAATATAGTTCTCCACACCCATCAGATGATGATTGGATCGGTGTCTTTTCTCCTGCAGCTTTCAAGTATATATAACACACCTTCTTTGTTAAAAAGCTATTTTAAAATCTCAAGGTTTAGTTTTTTGATATGATAAAAGCTTTGCATTACACCTTTTTTGTTTCTACAGTGCTTCGATTTGTCCTGCAGAAATAGAATACGTTGATCCACCTCTACTGTGTTCTGCTCCTATCAAGGTATTTTCCTCATCATGGTTTACAATACTAAGTTATGTGGTTTTCTTCTCTGCAATTGGTTTTAAAGCTTTCTCCTATTTCTTTACAGTTTCAGTATGCTAATTATGGAAACCCAGACTACATAAATACAGGCAATGCTTCCTTGAAGCTACAACTCATCAACCAGAGAGCAGACTTTTCCTTCGGACTCTTCTCTGGCGGTTTGCTGAATGTAACGCTCATTCACCCACAAGTTCTTTCGATTTACAAGGTTTTTAACTTCATCTTTTAACCAATCATTGGTTTTGTTTTCTCCCTGTCTGCTAGCCAAAGCTTGTGGCAGTCTCAAACAAAGTAGTCTTTGAGAACCCAAAGGCACCAGCTTACCCGCGATTGGCGCTAGGCAAAGCATGGGATGAAGTAAGATTCAGAAAACCCTTTTGGTTATTCTTTCTGTAGTAATGCCACAAAGAGTAAATATGGGTTTTGCAAACTTGTGTTAACAGATGACGGTGACCTGGACAAGTGGTTATGGAATCGACTTTGCAGAACCGTTTGTCGAGTGGGGCATTACAAAAGGAGAGCTTAAACGGTCACCTGCTGGGACTTTGACATTCGGGCGAAACAGCATGTGTGGTAAGTAGATCCGTCATTACCTCAAAACCCATACTTACACCCACACACACATTAGTAACATTGCCGCTGGTTCTGATTTAACAGGGGCTCCTGCAAGAACAGTGGGATGGCGTGATCCCGGATACATACACACAGCCTTTCTCAAAGAGTTGTGGCCGAATTCAAGGTATATGTGTTTTTCTGTTCTGAAATGACGAATCACAGTCACAAGGTAACCTGGTATGCATATATCAGTCACTAATCTTTTGTTTGAATAATATATAGGTATACATATAGAATCGGACATAAATTTCTCAGTGGTACATTCATCTGGAGTAAAGAGTATCAATTTCAGTCTCCTCCTTTTCCAGGACAAGATTCTCTCCAACGAGTTGTAATCTTCGGCGACATGGGAAAGGTTTGATATTTAGTCCAAATAACATTGGCCCAGCTTCTTGTTTATCAGATTATTCATAGCTTTCATGTGCCTTGTTGCAGGCTGAAGTTGATGGCTCAAATGAGTACAAAGATTTTCAACACGCTTCTCTCAACACCACAAAGCAGCTTATTCGACTTCTAAATGGTACTGATGTAGTTTTCCACATTGGAGATATCAGTTATGCAAATGGATACCTTTCCCAGTGGGATCAGTTCACAGCACCAATTGAGCCAATTGCTTCCACTGTTCCATACATGATTGCAAGGTCTGCGTTTTTTTCTTTTTCCTTTAATTTGATAAAATTGCAACCTTTCTGGTTCGTTGAAAGTGACTGCTGGTAATCCATTGTGCAGCGGAAACCATGACCGTGTCTGGCCCAACTCCGGATCTTTCTATCAAGGTCTAGATTCTGGAGGAGAATGTGGTGTACCAGCACAGACAATGTTCTACGTTCCTGCTCAAAACAGAGCCAAGTTTTGGTACTCGAGTGACTATGGAATGTTCAGGTTTTGCGTGGCCAACACAGAACTAGACTGGAGAGAAGGGACAGAGCAATACAACTTCATCGAGAACTGCTTAGCATCAGTTGACAGACAAAAGCAGCCGTGGCTGATATTCTTAGCTCATCGCGTGCTCGGTTATTCCTCTGCGGATCAATATGGTATTGAAGGTTCTTTCGGGGAACCAATGGGGAGAGACAGCCTTCAGAAGCTCTGGCAAAAATACAAGGTTGACATAGCTATCTATGGCCACGCCCATCTCTACGAGAGGACATGCCCTATTTACCAGGTTAGAAAGAAAATTATTACATTCAGCATATCAAAGAATGTTTTCTTGCAAAAAGATTTGAGTTTTCAGTTACCCTTTTGTAGAGCAAATGCATGTCTTCTGAGAAGACACAGTACGAGGGTCCATTGAATGGGACAATCCACGTTGTTGCTGGTGGTGGAGGAGCCGGTCTGAATAACTTCTCTTGCGTGAAACCGAAGTAGAGTGTTTTCAGAGATATGGATTTCGGGTTCGTGACACTTACTGCGATTAATCACTCCTACCTACAGTTCGACTACAAGAGGAGTAGTGACGGACTAGTCCATGACACATTCAGAATGTCAAGGGACTAACTTCTCTGAACATGGAATAATTTGTGTTTTAGTACGTTTTGGACAAAAGTTAATTTGCTATATAGTACGTTTACTATTTATAATTGGTAAAATAATACATTTTTACTATTTGAAAATTATTTATAAATCTCTTAAATCTGATAACTATGATATTTATCCAAATATATTTGGTTTTTATAAAATTCCAGTTACATAAAAAAATATATTTTTATCTCTATAATTTGATATGCATTTTATTTTAATAATTTTAAATATTTTTAAAACAAATATTGATACATCCACCTATTCTCATGTACAGTTGTGTGTCGCTGTACGAAAATTCTTCTGTATATTTTCGTACAGCGATCTATATATATGCATAATTATATGTGTACATATATTTTTCTGATTTATATATGTATATTTGTTTATGTGTAAAAATGTTTCTTTGTAGTTGTTTGTCTCTGCACAAATATTTTATGTATAATAATATGTTTCTGTATAGTTGTTTGTCTACACATATATCTGAATATTAAAACTGGGATATATTACTATTTATGAATAGTAAATGTACTATATCACAAATTAAGTTTTGAAAACATACTAAAACGCAAATTTTCCCAAGTTAATAATATACTTTAACGAAATAAAAGTTTTAGTTGAATTACAGTCATTTTGTGTTTTTTACAATCTAAATAAATTGGTTTTTCAGCAAAAGAAATCTGACTTTAGGAAAGATTGATGCTAATGAGTGAACCCTTGTAATTATTTTTGGAACCATTTAAAAATCTTTTAAAAACCCCTATAAACTTCTGAACCTATGTAAAGACCCTTGTAAATCGTTTTAATATTATTTAAAGACTATTGTAAATTGTTTTAAAACCATTCAAAAAGCCTTGTAAATCTTTTAAAATTATTTGTAAATCCTAGTAAATCTTTTTAAAAACCTTATAAATCTTTTAAAATTATTTTTAAAAACCCTTTTAAAACCTTGTAAATTTTTTAATTTCCAAGAACAGTGTCTCTGAGAAAAAATATTTTGGTGGGAATAGTTCAATTTTTTATTTTGTTGATTTAATTAACTTTCAATTAGGGATAAAATGGTCATTTAAAATTAAGAGAGAGCGAAAATGAAAATGTTTAAAAAGAATGTATTTTTGCAAAAAAAATATCATGAAAAGGGCATTACTAAGAATTTCTCAAAAAAAAACTTGGTTGGCAAAAATAAAAATGTTTAGACTTTAAAATGGTTTTAAAGCTTTAAAAGTCATCACCAATCAGCCCCTAAGGACACAAATGCTTTGTAGTTTTTAAATTTTGATTTTGGCTTTTGATTTATGGTTTTAATTTTTCAGGTTTTGAATATCCCACCTAAAACTGTTTTCAATAACAGTGGATTTTAAGGTAGATTTTAAAATGATTAGTTTAATAACACTGGATTTCATGAGACTTTTTCAAACTCATAATTGAATAACACATAATTTGTAAACTTTTTACAATAACTTAAAATTCCAATACATCCCCCCCCCCCAAGTTAATAATATACTTTAACGAAATAAAAGTTTTAGTTGAATTACAGTCATTTTGTGTTTTTTACAATCTAAATAAATTGGTTTTTCAGCAAAAGAAATCTGACTTTAGGAAAGATTGATGCTAATGAGTGAACCCTTGTAATTATTTTTGGAACCATTTAAAAATCTTTTAAAAACCCCTATAAACTTCTGAACCTATGTAAAGACCCTTGTAAATCGTTTTAATATTATTTAAAGACTATTGTAAATTGTTTTAAAACCATTCAAAAAGCCTTGTAAATCTTTTAAAATTATTTGTAAATCCTAGTAAATCTTTTTAAAAACCTTATAAATCTTTTAAAATTATTTTTAAAAACCCTTTTAAAACCTTGTAAATTTTTTAATTTACAAGAACAGTGTCTCTGAGAAAAAATATTTTGGTGGGAATAGTTCAATTTTTTATTTTGTTGATTTAATTAACTTTCAATTAGGGATAAAATGGTCATTTAAAATTAAGAGAGAGCGAAAATGAAAATGTTTAAAAAGAATGTATTTTTGCAAAAAAAATATCATGAAAAGGGCATTACTAAGAATTTCTCAAAAAAAAACTTGGTTGGCAAAAATAAAAATGTTTAGACTTTAAAATGGTTTTAAAGCTTTAAAAGTCATCACCAATCAGCCCCTAAGGACACAAATGCTTTGTAGTTTTTAAATTTTGATTTTGGCTTTTGATTTATGGTTTTAATTTTTCAGGTTTTGAATATCCCACCTAAAACTGTTTTCAATAACAGTGGATTTTAAGGTGGATTTTAAAATGATTAGTTTAATAACACTGGATTTCATGAGACTTTTTCAAACTCATAATTGAATAACACATAATTTGTAAACTTTTTACAATAACTTAAAATTCCAATACATCCCCCCCCCCCTCCCCCGCCTACCATCACATAAACTAGACTATAAAACTCCATGAAAAATAGCTTCATCGCACCATCAAAAATATATACCAAAGAAAAAGAAAAAAACTTCACCAGGGAAACGCGAAAACAACATCTACTTAGAGAATGAAGACTGTTTCATTTAAGCTTTTGCTATTAGTTTTCCTACTTGTGGCTATCATCCGTAAGTAAAAACAATAAACAAAAATCTTGCTATTCAACATTATTGTACTTTTTTTTAACGAAATTCACATTGATACCAAATAAAAAACATTATTGTACTTTTTCTTAATTATTTTTATTTATATATGCAGAAAATGGAGTTAGCATTCAAAATGATGCAAGTTCTATGATGAAATGTTCAAAGCAAGGGTATTTGCAAATTGGCGTTATAAAAAAAAAACTCGAGTTTGTATCATGCATATGATGAATGCTTATTAATTATAATAATAATAAAAAACATATTATTATAATAAAAAAATTGCATGCGTTTTAAGAAGACAAAGTACAATGGTCCATTAAACAGGACAATTTATATATTTTCAATAACATGGCTAGATTTAAACTAGTCTTGGAACATAACCAAACATAGTTGGGGAACAATAGATGCTTCTACTATCATTGAATTCAAAACCGGGAGATACTTTGTATTCATCTTCTCCAACAATGTATACTTTGTTGAGTATCCTATTCTCTTGTTCTTTCTCACAACACACTGCGACTTTCTTCTCCTCGTCAATGAAAAAACTCATGTGACACGAAAACATATGAGGATGAGGTGTAAAATCCACTGTCAAGAACTTGTTCCACGACACATATGTGGTCTCGATCTCACTGCTTATCCATATTTCCATCTTTTGTGTCGATCCTCTCTGATGTAACAAAGAAAGATGTTTTTCTCTAACAACCGATAGAGCCATTGTAGCATGTATACATACTCTCATTTCAAATGGGACGTACAGATATTGTAATGTTTCCGTCGAAAAATCGAAGCTAAGTAGAGAGTATTTATTCCTTTTTGTCCGCTTAAACAGCCAATAAACATCTCCCTTCAACGACACGCCACGAGATTGTAAGTTGCCTTTAGGACTTACATCGAGATTTCTCCATGACTTAGTGGTAAACTCATAGATTTCGAATTCTTGATTTTGTCTATCCCAAAACCTCAAGATTTTGTAGCCACTGCACAACTCTTTGTCTTTGTATCCGACAGCATACACATCGTCTCTATGGCAATGATCCTGTGGTTTGATCCATCTAGTTTGTCCCGAAAACATGTTCCAAACCACAAACATGTTTCTTTTGGTACTAGCGCATAGCAACATGCCATCACAGTGAAAGGCTTGACCTAGATCGACTTCTGAATTAAGACAAGGATCGATTAGGTTAAGTCCACGTTTAAACAAGGGAGGAGCAGTCATGTTAATCTCGTTGATATAGGAGCACATTGAATAAACTTTGAATTTCACCACCACGAGAACATGATACTGCCTATTAGATCTAGCATAAGCAATTTGCTTTTTGATGAATCTCGGATCTTTGAGTAGATCTTTCAACTGTTTGCATTCAGACCGTAGTCGTTTGAGAGAGATCATCGGAACCATTGACAATATCTCCTCTATTAGCTCCTGTGGAAGATCGAAGATTATCATTTTTTTTCTCTTGTGAGTTCTGACATCGATCTTACAAAGGTGAAAGCTTTTGGAGTAAGTTAGGTCTTAATTAGGGCTTCAATTAACTTTCATATGTGTTCTCTATCTTACAGAGGAGAAAGCTTTGAGAGTAAGTTAGGTATTGATTAGGGTTTTAAGTAACCTTCATACGTGTTCCCTCAATATTATTTATTAGGAAAAGCTTAAAACAAAACAGAGAAAGTGAGCCTCTTTAAATAGAGATGGAACAAGCAAACAAAATAAGGAAATTTGGAGAAAGCAAAACTAATGGAAAAGTTACTTAAAACATAAAGAAACAAACAAAGCTGAAACTTGTACCACAAGCGAAGCTTCTAGTTCTCAAGTAGTAGGTTGTTGTTGTTCTGCTAACTAAAGAAAATTTGATGTTTAGCATCTTCTTAATTTGTTTCGTATCATCAAGGGCTAAAATGTGTTTAATTCTTGTTAAATAAGAGCTAAAAAAAATTGGAAGAAAGATTAATCATTTACACTAAAAATACCACAAGATATGTAATGAGCTTATTATCACTGATATGCAAGAACATAAACAGGTTGTAGATCACCAAAACAAGATGTGAAGATTTCAAGAATTTTGGTGAAACAAAACAGTCGTCTCAAGATCTTCTTGGCTTCCTCATCTCTCTGTCGCTTTCATCCGAAGTAGAAGAAGATGATGAGAGTCAGACTCGGAACCAGGACTGTCGTATCCTTATTCTGACTCCGCAGCTTGCTTCTGCTCCCTGAGATACTCTCTGAGACTCTCTGTGATGCCTCCAAGACCAATGGATGTAAAGAAGCTGATTGCAAAACTCGTGTTCTTTGGACTATCTTTAAGGAAGATAGAAGATTCAAGTAATTCCTGCAATAGTGGATCCTGAAGCCTCTCATTGAGTTCCTCAATCCCCAAGTCGTCTGACAGTTTCTGCAATCAACGAAATCGTAACCAAATCAGCACAACAGTCTTAAAAAGAAACTCTTATTAGCATTATGCAGTAACATAAGGATTACTATTAATCATATGAAAACAGGATTACGTGAGATGGACAGTTCTGAAATAGAAATTTTTATGTTGAGGATTCTCTAGTTACCTGGAAAATGATCTTAACAAAGATACGAGATGAGGGAGTTGTGTTCTCTTCAGTTAACCTAATGTAAGCAAGCACATGCCACGAGAGAGCATTTGTGCTAAGTAAATGAGCAAAAAACGTAGCCACGTTATGCAACTTGTTTGTCTCAAGAAGATGACTCATGGAGTAGTTCTGAACAAAGCATTTCTCAAAATTGTCTTGATGGATCTTGTTGCTCATACATAAACGCTGACCCAACAAACCGTAGTAAGGCAGATAAGTTTTCTCCTTAAAGCAACATTCCAAGAGCACTGTGCATAGTTCTATTTCTTGTCCTGGTTCAAGCTTAATGTTACCTGCTTCCTCAAAACCATTGTTGTACATGATGCTCAGGTAAATTTTCCTCCTAAGATTAACAAGATTAGTCTCTGTCTCATCTCTTATTCTCATTTCTTCATCATCTTCTTCCTTGTCAATGAAGTGGAAAACATCAAGACCAGTTTCAGGATCAATTTCTTGATCAAGAGAGACATCGTGTGAAATTTGTTCTTCCACGAGATATAGCTCAGGAAGAAACACCTGATGTCGTCCCTGAGAGGGTAAACAAACCATTCACACAAATTGTTACTATTTCCTAGCAAAAAAAACCATATACTATAATCTCTATCTCACAACATATAATTATCATCAGATTCAAACAAGTTTAATGTCTCTACATACCTGAAATTTAGCTTTCCTAATAGCAAAGAGCCTTTCAATCAAGTACTGAACTCTCTTGTCTATCACTCTCTCATACAGTATACCACGAAACCGCTCAAAAATCCCTGCATTATGAACATTTGTAATATCTTAGAAACACAGATATAGAACATATAAAAAACTGTTAGAACTGTGAAAGTGAAAAGCTGAGTTGAGAAAGGATTAAAATAAGATTACCATGCATTCCTTCTGGTGTAAGGTATTGCAGCATGGCGCCACACTCTGTCACAAACCCAACAGATACCTCGACTTTGTCATCAGTTGGGTCTTCAAGAAGTAGAGTGAGTAACTCAAGTGCAATGATCCCATCAGAGACTTGTTGGTTCACTAGATGAGCTATGAATTTAACAGAAGCAAGAAGTTGAGGCCTGTCGTTACGCTTATATGCTCTCTTTAGCTGAAGAACGACTCTTTTCAATAGAAGAAACGAAACTTGAGGGAACTTGGAGTTGACAACAGCGACTAGAGCTGCATATACGTTAGTAAGTCCAGGAGATGCCATCTGAGACTTGATACAGCAACGGCAGAAAAGTCCCCTTCCTCTGATGAGATCTTCAGCAAAGAGTTCAGGGATTATGTTCTTGATGTTGCTTGCGTCAACCTTGTTCACGAGGCTATCGATACTTTTACGGAGAGCATCCCATGTAAGACGTTGGTACTCTATGCTGCTCTTGTCTTTCACATCATTCATCATGCGTCCTTGCTTGAAAGCGATGTCATCTCGCCTGGCTAATTCTTCATGAGAATTAATCTTATCTCCACCACTAGTCTCAAGGTCCCGTCGCGAGATTTTACGGTCTTCATCATCAGAAACCCTAACCCTAAGACCAACGTGTTCTGTCTCCATTCTCGATCGCCTAACTGAGATCAAGTAAGAACCTTTCTCGATAACCAGAGAATTTAAACCCTAGCCGATCTGAAATCTGTAGCAAGAAACTGATGAGGTTGTCGCTGGGATCTGATTCGGCGAGCAAAAACTGAAAAGGAAGAGAAGATAAAACTTGCTCGAGACGGCACTTTGTGTATTTGTTAAGATAAAGGCTCAAACATTAATGGGCTTATCTACAAAATGAAAAGCCCATCTTGTTTATGAAGCATGAAGTCCAAACACCGACCCAAAAATTATAATCTTCTCACTTTTGTCAATTGCAAACCTCTCTCTTTCTCTCACTCACTCTTGTTCCTCCTCTTCACCTGTAATCTCTTCTCCAAAATCAGAAAATGACTTCTTCAGTACTAACCTCAAGCTCCAAGCTTTTAGCTATGGCGAATTCTTCCTCTTCGACCGTTTTCTGTATTCCTTCTATCTTCACCATCTCTTCCTCCAAACCTCACCGCTCCAATTTTACCTTCTCTTCACGACCCATTAATCTCCCACTCCCTCTCAAATCCAAAACTCTCAATACCTTATCTCCTGTTGTTGCTTTTGTTTCCCAAACTTCGGATTTGGGAGAGGAAGAAGAAGGTGAGGATGGAAGCATCGGAGGTACTTCCGTCACTGTAGATGAAAGTTTCGGGCCTGAAGACGGTGGTGGATTTCAGGAGCCACCGGAAGAGGCTAAATTGTTCGTCGGAAACTTGCCTTATGATATTGATAGCCAAGCTTTGGCTATGCTCTTTGAACAAGCTGGTACTGTTGAGATTTCAGAGGTAAATTCTCTAATTTGTGCTTTTCAACGTTGAATCCAAATGTGGAATAGGGTTTTAGATTCTTAGTTTGATTTGTAAATGTAAAGGAATGATTTTGTTTGATGGGTTTGTTTTGAAATCTTGATTTTTGCAGGTTATATACAATAGGGACACTGATCAAAGTCGTGGATTTGGGTTTGTAACAATGAGTACAGTTGAAGAAGCAGAGAAAGCTGTTGAGAAGTTCAATCGTTATGTAAGGATTTAATCATCTTTGCTTGTTTTATTAATCTTGTTGACAATTTGGATTGTAATGAAAGATGTTGAAGTTGATTGGTATACAATTATAGGAAGTGAATGGGAGGCTTTTGACAGTAAACATAGCAGCTCCTCGAGGATCAAGACCGGAACGACAACCTCGTGTATATGATGCTGCGTTTAGGATCTATGTTGGGAATCTACCGTGGGATGTGGATAATGGTCGTTTAGAAGAAGTGTTTAGCGTACACGGAAAAGTAGTTGATGCTCGAGTGGTTTGCGACAGGGAGACAGGTCGTTCGCGTGGGTTCGGGTTTGTTACAATGTCTAACGAGGCTGAAGTTAGTGAGGCCATTGCTGCTCTTGATGGACAGGTATAAGGAAAGACTCCATGAGTTTCTTTGGTTATCTTCTTGTGACCTATGAGTTTCAGTTATCTAAGTGCTCTTTGTGTTTGCAGAATTTGGAAGGCAGAGCAATTAAAGTGAATGTGGCTGAGGAACGAACAAGGCGTGGATTTTGAAAGTTCAGTGAGTCCTAATATTGTGATATATGATTGTAAATGTTCTCACTTGCAATCCGATGTAGCTATTATGCGAAATCAACCTAAGAGTTCAAGCTTTTGTAAACATATTTTCTTTATTACCCATCAAAACATTTTACAAGACATTACACAACCTTATATGTACACTAAGACGTGGGAAATAGAGTTTGTTTCTTTGTTAAAATCCTCCTAACTGTTCGTCACGGCTAGTGAGGGGCACATATCTAACTGAAGTTTCTGTATGTGCCTTGATGGAACCATCCTCGCTTTTGTCAATTACCTTGAGCTCTTGAAAATAGGTTCCTAGTGGAATCACCATTCGCCCACCGGGTTTTAGCTGATCCAAAAGGGGCTGCGGGATTTCTGATGCCGCTGCTCCTACGTGTATGGCATCATAAGGTGCAAACTCTTGCCAACCTTTTCTTCCATCTGCCATAAGATACAAAATGAGTCAAAAGATGATTTTGCACATAAGGGAAGTTCCCCCATTAGAATGTTCAGAAGTTGGAAAGCTAATACCTACCACCAACATGTAGGGAGAGATATCCTTTCTTAAGCAAAGAAGCAGCTACACTCTTTTCTATATTCTTGATAGACATATCAACCAATTCAGGGATATGATCCACACCAACAACGCGTCCCTCAGCTCCAACCATCAGCGCGAAACAGCCAGTCAAGTACCCGGTTCCTTCAAGCATAAGGTGATTGTTATCCCAAATTCCCCAAAACTCAAAGAACTAGACTTTATAATAGCAATAACATCAAGTAAAGGTAACCTGAACCAACATCCAAAGCACGCATCCCAGGCTGGAGCTTATCTTCCAAGAGCTGCAAGCAAGTGGCATGCATATGGGGAGCAGAAATGGTAGCATTATAACCAATAGGTACAGGAGTATCAACATAAGCTGAAGATCCAGCTGGTACAAAGAGACCTCTATCCAAATCTTCCATAACTTGAGCTACTCTCTTAGATGATATCACACCGTACCGCTTCAAATTTTCCACCATTGCTTTCTTGCCACTAGAGCCAGCTCCACTCTGAAACTGCTATCACCCACCCACAACATTAAAATAGTCCATAAACCCAAATTGAATCAAATTCTTTAGTGTCAAGATTAATACAAAACAAATACAAAGTAACCACTGTGACAACAATTTCTAGCTGAAGTGTTGGCAATAAAGTGAAACATACCATACTAAAGAAGGAAGTGAGGAGACGACCGGAGAAACGAGAGAGATTGAGATTTAGAAATTGAGATGGTGAAGATGAACCGTAGCGGTGAAGTCTACGTGGCGCACAATAGAGATGACCATATGCTTTTAATGTTATTGTTGGGCATATTAAAACCTGAGCTCTCATTTTCTTTGTTAAAATCTGTTTTTTTTTTTTTTTCTAGATTCTAGTTTCTTCTCTCATGATCTGTTAGTGTGTTCGTCGTGTTCATACTCCAGAGTTGGAGTCGTATGTTGCCACGTAGCCTCATGACGTGATCTACTCTTTTCATGAAACATTGTAAATGGGCTTCCTATAGGCCCAATAAGCTGATATGATATTTGATGTTGCTTGCCGGCTACTACTATAACAAAACTTCACGTAAATTGGTAATGTCATTAACATATTAAAGATTAAATTAATCTATAGTTTGCTAATTTATAAATCATCGAAATTACGAAAAATCATGATTTAAAATAATTCTATTTTCTTTTTAGTATTGAATATTGATCATAATATTAATATCATTGAGATCTTAAAGTTTAATCAATCATTAATTACAAAATCTGATCTGATTCGATTTTTCAATAAACTAATTTTGTTGGGGAAAATCCAAAAAAATCACATTTGCAGTTTTGTATTGTTCTAATTTTGGGGAATCGTAAAGCGGCGGTGGAACTTAAAGTCGCCACCGTTTCCGATCAAAATCAACCTCTACTCAAACCCTAATTTCTAACTCCGATCGAGAGAGATGTTGTAAGTCTTTGATTTTGATCTTTTTTTTTTTGTGCAGTATGGTTTATTTGCGGTTGTTTGAAATTTTTTATTCCGATGATCGTCGGAACTTTTTTCAGGTCACAGGAGGAAAAAGCTATGGAAGCAATTAAAGACGCTTTGAGAGCTTTGCGGAAGCGTCATCTTCTTGAAGAAGGAGCTCATGCTCCTGCGATTTCTGCTCTCTCTAGGCCTATTCTCTCTCAGGTAACCTTGTTCGCTCCTTTCTTAATTGCTTCAGATTTCGCCATTTTCATCTTTATACCTTTTTCCCGAGTTATACCAATTGCTACTTTGCTAGTAAACAATGAAACATTTGAGGTTCTTTCAAATATTATTTGCAAGAAATGTTTATGTAGTTGGAAGAATAAAGGGTCTTTTTTGGATTTCTTAACCAAAACTGTAGCTCTCTTTATGTTTGTTTAGTGCATTTTGTGAGTTTGGCTAGACCTCTGCTTGTGGATCTCCTGCAATGGATGAAATTTTGATCCATTTCTGCGTTCTTTAATCTGCTTATTGTGTTTGGTTATGTTGTTGTACTCTTTGTGTCACTGAGTAGTATAAAAGTATATGTAGTTTAGTTTAAATTTCATGCTTGCTTCAAATGAATAGTATGCCTCGAAGTTTGTATTGGATCCTTTTGTTTTGGTTCAGCTTCGCCGTAGATTTGGTCTTATCTATCAACTTTTACAGACTGGAGTATTTGAAAGATGTCGTGAATTAGTTTTGTCTATTTGCATGCAGGGGTCAGAATGGAAGGAGAAAACAGAAAAACTGGAAACAGAGTTACAGCAATGTTATAAAGCTCAATCCCGACTGTCTGAACAACTTGTGATAGAAGTAGCTGAGTCAAGAACATCAAAGGCTTTTTTACAAGAGAAGGAGTTGTTAATTATTGACTTGCAGAAGGATTTAACCCAAACAAGGTCAGAATGGTTATGCAGTGAGTGTGAATTAAGTTGTGCGATTCTTAAAACTAGAGTTTTGCTGTAGGGAGGAGTGTACACGATTACAAGAAGAGTTAGACGACAAGACCAAGACTGTGGATGTACTTATTACTGAAAACCAGGAAATCCGGTCTCAGCTGGAGGAGATGACAAATAGAGCGCAAAAAGCAGAATCTGAGAATAAAATGTTAATAGATCGGTGGATGCTACAGAAAATGCAGGATGCAGAGCGTCTTAATGAGGTATATAGGGGCTTTCTTTTCTTGAGAGTTCCTAATGGCAGAGTTTATTAGTCCTCTATTTTCATTTCGGTTAGGTTGGCCTTAATTTGTTGATCTTTACTTAGGCAAATGATCTCTATGAAGAAATGCTAGCTAAGCTGAAGGCAAATGGTTTGGAAAGTCTTGCTCGGCAGCAAGTTGATGGCATTGTCCGCCGCAATGAAGATGGAACCGATCACTTTGTTGAGTCAACTATTCCGTCAACATGTGGGCACCGCATCCATGCTCATGAAGGTGGCTGTGGTTCAATAATCTTTGAATACAACTCTGGTACTCTGTTTACTGGTGGGCAAGACCGAGCAGTAAAAATGTGGGACACCAATAGCGGGACGTTAATCAAAAGCTTATACGGTTCCCTTGGGAATATACTTGATCTTGCCGTAACCCACGACAATAAATCCGTGATCGCAGCAAGCAGCTCAAACAATTTGTTTGTGTGGGATGTAAGCTCGGGTAGGGTACGCCATACACTCACAGGCCACACCGATAAGGTTTGTGCTGTTGATGTGAGCAAATTCTCTAGCCGACATGTTGTCAGTGCAGCATATGACCGTACCATAAAACTATGGGATTTGCATAAAGGTTACTGCACTAACACCGTACTCTTTGCCAGTAACTGCAATGCAATCTGCCTCAGCATAGATGGGCTTACGGTATTCTCAGGCCACATGGATGGGAATCTTAGGTTATGGGATATTCAAACTGGAAAACTTCTGTCTGAAGTAGCAGGACATTCTTCTGCTGTGACCTCGGTATCATTGTCCCGTAATGGAAATAGGATCTTAACAAGCGGGAGAGACAACGTCCATAATGTATTCGATACCCGGACTTTGGAAATATGTGGGACTCTGCGAGCATCAGGAAACAGATTGGCATCGAATTGGAGCCGGTCATGTATAAGTCCAGATGATGATTATGTGGCTGCGGGATCTGCGGACGGGACGGTTCATGTATGGTCACTATCTAATGGCAATATAGTGAGCGTTCTCAAGGAGCAAACATCTCCTATACTGTGTTGTTCTTGGAGTGGGATAGGGAAACCATTGGCATCGGCTGATAAAAACGGGTACGTTTGCACATGGACATGATGATGAAACAGTTGGATCACACTGGTTTTGTTAGCTCAAATGCGTCGTATGTTTCCAAAAGGATGGGCGTGCGTGTATTCTTGTATCTTGTGGTGAATTCTTTCCCTCAAAAGAACTTTCATTTGATGAAATGTTTCCTGCCGTACATAATTGTTTTCTAAGGTTCATTTCAGTGTAGTGCTCAATTTTTTCAAATATATATTTAATAAAACCTTACGGGAGCTAGCTTAGAAGAACACCGGCGATCATGTCGAGAATACGATGCGTTCAAGTGGTATTATGTAGATTCTTAAAAAGTTATCAAAACAATAAACAGTATTGAAACTTTTGTCAGACAGAATATCTTGGTTAACACTACATGTCGAAGATTCAAAATTAATCGTCCTGCATTCGATTATAAACAGCCATAGAGACTTCATCGACTCAGCCTCCGTGTGATACTTAAGACTTCATGGTCAGACTTCATTCACTCATCTTCCACCACCATTCAAACAATGTCTCTAAGCCTCTCAGTTCTTTCTCTTCTCCCCTACTTACCCTCAAAACACTGACAAAGAATCAGTGGCAACACTTAGCGGCCACTATAGCTATCAATACATCTGTGGCTTGATTTTTTTTGTTGGTCAAGCATATGTAGAATGACAATGAAAGTATATATACCACACCATAATATAGTGTTTGTATAGTAAGAAGAGCTTTTGGTTTCAAATTTACCCTCTTTGGCTTTTGAATGTATTTTTGACATGTGAGACTTTGGATACCCAATCAGTTTTGCAAAAGCTTCCACACAAATGTTATCAAAAGCCCAAAATATGATGGAAGATGTTTAATTTAAGGTGTCTTCTTTTGGAACTTCATCTCCAATGTCCACATATTGTCTTTTGTTTGTTTGTTTGTTTCGGACACAGATTCTTTATACTTTGTTCCTTTACTCAAGGTTTACAACACAGATGATAGAAGACGTTTCAAGTTTGTTACAATGCCGCATTTTAAGCACAATGCAAAGATCCCCCAAGAATAATAATACATCAATAAGGCTCCTAAGCCTCTCTAATATATCCACATCCTTCTTCTGCTTCTGTTTATATCACTGTATAACAAATGTAATGTATTCCTTGTAATCATTATTGCAGGAAGAACTTTTAACCTTCATGTTCCACCAAAACGTTAAACCTATAACTTGCTGATAACTAATACACTCCCGATTTGTTCATAAAGGCAACTTGGTCATCTCTGGCCCTCCCAACTTAATACCTGATGAACAAGCTTCTCTGGTAGCTCCTTATTCGCCTGCAAAACCATGATATACATTCAGAATTTTATATCACATTACTAAAAAATTTATAAGAGATGAAACATAGTTTAAAGTTTTTTTAACTCACTTGGAAGTGCCTCATGTGAAGTATTGGCTCACACCCGACATCTGCAATGAGTTTTCCTTGAGGAGTTTGTTTTTTAAATCGCTCCGCTATGAATCCGCCGAATATGTTTTCCACATCAGGTAGATTGTGGCAAACTTTCATGAGCGAGCTAAGTGAATTCATCTGCATTATCACACAAGCTATTTTATTTGATGGAGCAAAGAGATTCATCTAGCAATCCATACCGAACAAATTGATGACAAAGCAAGAACTGACCTTCATATATGGACATGATGCACATCCGCCATGAATAGAGCAGCCTTCACCGCCTGCTACTCCCGGCACAACCGGTAATGCCACATCACCAACTTTAGTGGAGTTTGAACTATCTGAAGAAGTTTTTGTCATCGAGTCTGATGATACAGGAAATACTACTTCAACCTTCAGTTTCGAATTGGCAGAAGATCCTAGCAAACTCCTGATCACCGCGACAATAGCTGTTACCATTCCTGACTCTGTTCCAAGAACAAATTGCAGGTGGTCATCCACATTACGGTCCACTGCTTCCTCAACCTTCAGCTTGATGAAGTCTAGTATGTTTTGTGTGGATCCAACAACACCCATCTCTCTTTTCTTTGCTTCCATTGCTAGTGAAAACATTTCACCTGGAACCTCGAGGTGCGCAGTAAGAAAGGCGTCACAGTACATGTACTTTAATCTCTCCACTACCTCATGACCGAAAAGATGATGTACAATACAT